CATGTGCTCGTTTCACCAGATGAATTGAAATATGAGTGTAGAGTGTACATTGTCTTCAGTTATTCCTTGTAGAGATGGCTATGACAGAAATGTGGTGCCACCTCCCTGTTCTGTTGAAATGGAATGTAGGGACCAGTTTCTCAGAACCAATGGTGAGATGAAGAAGCCTCCTTGGTCACAATTTTCAGAATCACCTTCGCGTTCTCCCCCTGTTCACCTGCCACTCAAAAGCTGACAATAAAGGGTGCAGGGCAATATCGGCATTGAGCAGAGCCCCTGTACACTCTGAAAGAGTGCTCCAGGCAGACGCATATTCTGAAGACAGCCACATACCTAATGACTAGCAATTGCCTCTTGTGAAAGCCATTCTGTGACTCATTGGGGCACACACTTTTACCTGTCTTGAGAAACATTAATAAATTTGGTATGTTTTACAAAACCCGTGCAATGCGTACAAAAGAGAATTCTAAATATCTCAGTTGTTGGAAATGCAATTTTCCTTGCTTCATCTGTTGTGACTCTGTTGTGAGCTACATTTCAGAGCAGTGAGCTAATGAACCTGGGTGGCCTGACACAGGTCCTTAGAGAAGTGTTTTTCCACGTTGCTAAGGAATAGTAGTACCTAGGGGAATGCTACTACCATCTCGCTGTCTCTCTCAAATGGTTCTTGCACTGAATATGTACCTTTCTTGAAGAGGACAGCATGAAGCGTCTTCTAGTATGGAACCTTTTTAGTTTTATTTATGCCCAACCTGGAATTAGCAGGGTTGCCTTTCCCAGGCTTAATACAGGGAGAGGAGCTTAGTACTATCTAAATTTGCTATGACAGGCTTTGTCGATACCCATTGGAGGCCTGTCCCTTTCTGACCAGAAAGAGAGGAGGAGTGGATGAGGGTAAATAAGGGAAGGAATGGGAGGAGAGGAGGGAGGGGAAACTGTGGTTAGAATGTAAAGTAAATGAGTAAACTTTGAAAAAAGTTCTCTTCTTTCTAAGACACTTGGCATTGAAAAATGGATGTACAAATTCAGGATGTTTTCTGTGTGGCTTATGAAACTGTTAGCACTATCAGCTGTTGAGCATAAGTTCTAAAGCTCTGATGTTCAGCATCGGTCCTGTTCCTGATTTCCCCTTCTCTGTTGCAGCCACCAAAGTTATGTCAGTGTATTAAGTTTGGGAGTAGATTGGAATTGATCCTGAATTGTTGGCACTGTCACTTGCAAAGTAAGGAAGCCAAACACTGAGTGTGGGTTTTAGACACTCTGCAAGCCTGATATATTTTCACATTAAGTGTGAGGAATATGTGTGAACAGTCTACCAAAGAAAGTAGAGTAATATCCTGAGCAGAGTCAAACGTAATTCCAACAGACACCCATTTAGCTTCTCTGTGGTGAGAAATACCATCAGAATCTAAATCGTCCAAGTACTGGAGTCAAATGAATCTAGTCCAGTGTTTGGAGCTTTTGTGAGTCTTGCTATGTGTGTTCTTGGGAACATGCTACTTTCTGTTACGAAGCTCTCATTTTCCTTTTCTTGGCAAAGGAAGGCTTGTGTGTATGGGTGATTATTATAGATTTGAATATGATACCATCTATGAAAATCTTGAAACATGCTTAAAATAATTCATTGACCTATATAGCAGTTATGGTCAGATTGGTATCTAGATAGAAGAAGAGAAAGAGTGAAAGGAAAATGTCATTTGGAGACTAGAGCTAACAGGTTATCACCATACACAAAGGAATACCATATGATGCAAGGCAGTCACACTGTTTGAATGTCTTTAAATTTGCACATGAAGTGTTTGGTTTTTATTTCCTATAAAGAGATTTATTTGTAGTGAGAAGCTGACTTGTCTGACCTTCAGAATCATGTTACTGGGTGCAGGATGCTAAGTATTGAAGGTATGATTGGCAGACCCTAAGGTTCCCACTTTACCCACTCTGTGGAAGCTATAAATGCTCCACTCCAGCTGCTGTTGATAAACACTCCATCATGAGTCCAGGAACATTTCTTCATCTGGGACATCTTTCTGACACTGAGTGATCTGTGGTTTGTCCTTTGAAAGAAACTTGAGGCTCCTCAATGCTGCTTTAAAAAGACACTCGGGGGGGCAGAGTTAGAGGTGGGCATGGAAAAGCGTCTTAGATGTGTGTACTCAACCGAAGCCAGTTTTACAGCTGTTGCCATGACCGTTACTGTGTGGAATATGAATGCCATAATGTAGAGTTGCACCTGTCTCATTCTGGGTGTAACAGTGTTGAAATTTCCCTTCTGTCCTTGAACCTCTACGGTGTGTATAGTTAATGCCCTCAGCTTGCTTTCTGTTTCTAAAAAAAAAAAATTAGCATCATTTCTTTTCTTGTCTACCAGTCATTTCCAAAGCTTCCTGACTCATTCTTGTCCATAGCTTCTTACCCTCAACATAGTGCGCAGGTCCTCACAGCCAGGACATTCTTGACTTGCTAACAAAGTGGCAAATATACAGTAGAGTCATACTAATTTCTTGCCTATAATGAAAAGAGATTTTTGAAAAACTTGATGTGCTTGGTTTGTTCTCAGTGACTCCTTGCCACAAATTGCTCAATACCCAGATGAGCTCAGACCTGAACAAGGTACTCAAACTTCAAAGGACCAAAAATAGGAGTACTGCATAATTATAGAACATTAATTAACTTATACAACATGGATGGTATCATAATAAGACACAAGGCCAATGAGTGAATTCAAACCTTTCTACTCCAAATATGGTCTGTGTCCTGTAGCAATTACAGTATCTGGAAGCTTGTTACACTTGGAGACTATTAGAATTGAAGTAATTGGAAGAAGTGTTGAATCATAGCACACATGCAATACAATCCCCAGGTAGCACAAACACCAGGCACTCGGAGAAAGACAATTACAGAGTCACACGGTGCAGGAGCCCTCATTTGTTGCAAACTATCGAGTGAATTACTTAGACTCACTGAATTTACTGCTCTACAAACATAAGCCCTTCACACCTCATAGGGTTGTTGTGAAATATTGAAGTTAAGGAATCTTCAGTAGGCTTACATATGGAATAGTTTTGTTAGCAATAATAACATTATTTTCCTTGTAGAATTTTCCTTGTAGATTTTGGTGCCAATGTGAGAGTGTTTGGGGAAGTCAGGATAGCCCTCTGAACTGTACTCCCAGCGCCCCCCCCCCAAAAGGCTTGAACTTTGTGTAACTGCATTTTTTACAAATGTCCTAATATATGTATGTAAATCTTTATAAATGATGAAATGTATACTTCTTTAAAGAAATTTCATGACTACTCCTCTTACCTTGAGCACTTTACATGCCTCCCTTTATGTCCTCTGTCCTGACTTTATTGGGAAGCCCTGTGTCTCAGGCAACTCTCATAATCTGTACCATTTTTTCTGTCAATTTGATGTTTAACATGTGTCACGGTACGGTGACATTAACTTTTGGCTCTTTCCTTTGCTCTAATAGGATTATACTGTGTAGGAGTGCCTTGAATCCAGCAGCCACTTCAGCAAATACTAACAGATGATATGATTAGACTGGGTCCTGTAGATAGAGGGAATTAAATCACATTGATTAATATTCTCAGAAAAAAAAGCAGAATGGTATGACAGTTATTTCTTAAAAATTAGTAACCATGTAAATGTATGCTGAGAATCAGATCCTGGACGGCCCCTGGGGAAGCTGTAAAGTGCAGATGACAATAGACCCTCACATTTCAGAATCGTCACAAACAAAAGTAGAGTATGAAACTGGAGAGAAATATCAGTACCTATGAACACTCTCAATGTAATTCCAAAGTCCTGAGTTTACATTTCAGAACCCATGTAGGAAGATAACTGCAGCAGCAGCAGCAGCAGCAGCAGCACACATCTGTAATCCTAGAGTTTCTATAACTAGAAGAAAGGAAGAAGGGGAGGCAGAGACAGGAGCATGACCTAAAAGCTCACAGCCTGGCTAGCTTAGGAGAAGCAGAAACATGAAGAAAGATACTGCCTCAGAGCAAAGTAAAAGGCAAGAGAGCAACTCCCATACCTGTGTACGCACACACACACACACACACAGAGAGAGAGAGAGAGAGAGAGAGAGAGAGAGAGAGAGAGAGAGGGAGAGAGAGAGAGAGGGGGGGGGAGACTCATGTGTACAAAGATTAAAATAGAGATGTATCCTTAAATTGTTTGCCCTAACCAATACAGGCTTCACATACACAAGATCCTGTGTTCAGTATTAGTACCACAGACAGGCAAGCACACACACATACATACACACACCACACAAAATATAATTTTAGTGGTTAGCAGTAAGTTTTGTTAACAAATAGAATGAAAAGGCTACATAATTCTTCATATTTAGTCATAAAACAAGTAGCTGATATCCTTATAACTTAACACTTGTGCATTTCATAAGCAATACACAATATTCACATATTAGAATGACCTACAGTGGTGATCTACAGAGTTTCTTAGGGGAGGGATATTGTTTTATTTATCTTCAAATGTGTAAATAGTGAGGACTGATAAATTTCACTTGGTAAGAGTAACTTGAGTTGGTGTTTAATTTTCTTTCTGAAGTCAATACCTTCTGAATAGTATACAAAACACAAAGAAAGTCATATCATAGAAGTAATTAAAGCTACATAATACGTTGCTTTTCAGTTCAGAATAGATATGTTTATATAGTTAAGAAATTAGTGGGGTTGGAGGCATGGCTCTATGGCCAAGAGTGCATAGCACTCTTGGAAAGACATGAGACTGATTATAGAATCTTGGCTGGTTCACAACCACCTGCGACCCCAGATCCAGGGACTCTCATGCCCACTTCTGGCCTCTGCTAATACCTGCGTTCACGTGCACATGTCCACACACAGACATGCAGATACCTATTTTATTTTGTTTTTTAAGGAAGAAATAAAAACCCTAAATGTGTAATGGTGTTTATTATAAAGTGACCAAAACAAATCAATCTTTCCCATTTTTTTTTTCTTAATTGTGTACAGATTCCTCCAAAGGACCTCAACCATCTTCAGGTATTAATGGAAACACACAGCCTCTCAGTACTTCTGGGCAACCCCCAGCCTCTGCCATCCCTTCCCCAAGTGCCAGCAAGCCCTGGCGCAGCAAATCCATGAATGTCAAGCACAGTGCCACCTCCACCATGCTGACGGTGAAGCAGCCAAGTCCAGCCACCTCTCCCACTCCACCTTCAGACAGACTGAAGCCCCCTGTCACAGAAGGGGTCAAAAGTGCTCCCTCGGGACAGAAATCTATGCTTGAAAAATTCAAGCTGGTTAATGCTCGGACTGCGTTGCGTCCCCCTCAGTCTCCCAGTTCAGGACCTGCTGAAGGTGGGAAGGATGACGATGCCTGTTCTGAATCTGGAGAAATAGAAGGTTTTAACAGTGGTCTGAATAGCGGTGGTTCAACAAGCAGCAGTCCCAAAGTGTCACCTAAATTAGCCCCTCCGAAAGCAGGAAGCAAAAATTTCAGCAATAAAAAGTCTTTGTTGCAGCCAAAAGAAAAGGAGGACAAGGGCAGGGACAAAAATAAAACCGGCACCGAAAAGTCGGGGAAGGAAGAGAAGGACCAGGTGACGGAGGCAGCCCCCAAAAAGACCTCTAAAATCGCTAGCTTGATCCCAAAGGGCGGCAAGACTGCGGCCGCCAAGAAAGAAAGCTTAATTCCATCCTCCAGTGGGATTCCAAAGCCGGGCTCAAAGGTACCCACAGCAAAGCAAACTATTTCACCAGGCAGCGCAGCAAGCAAAGAGTCCGAGAAATTCAGGACTACCAAGGGAAGCCCTTCTCAGGCCTTCCCCAAGCCCATCTCCTCGGAGAAAGCTAGCACACATGGGCTCTCTGCTCCTCAGGACGGGAGGGAAGCTGCCCATGCATCTCCCTCTAGTTCCTGCGCTATGCCCGTGGCACAAGGCAGTGGGCAGAGCATTGTCAACGGAGCTGTCCAACTGCCCCAGCAACAGCAGCATAGTCATCCCAACACGGCCACGGTGGCTCCGTTCATTTACAGGTGAGGTGGCCTCTGTAGCCCTGTGTTCACAGATCTATGTGGTTAGATGTGTAACGTTAAGTTAAATGCCGTTTGAGAATATTTCTGTTTGAAGCAACAGGACTAGAATCCTGTACAAAGCCTTAGTCTGGGGAGACCTCATGTGTCAGGTCTTATCTGCTCAAAAAACGAAGGCATTCAAAATGTAACCCACTTCCTGCCCAGGACAAGGTGGAACTGAGGTGCCAGGACATCCCCCGTGTTGAGTTCTTTCTCATACTACCCTGTTAACTCTGGCACCTAGCAGCTGTCATTAGTACAAGCTGCCCTTTAAAATAGTTGCTGAACTGCAGGTGCGGACAGTCAAACTTTGTGTTGTCATGTGTGGGATAAAGTATATCACAGTGGTTAATGAGGCTGGCCTCGAGAGCATACATGTGTGTGCTGGATCCCCAGCCGAGCCTTTTATCAGCTCATGACATTAGATACGTTGGTTAAAAATCCCTATTCTCATTTCCTTCATCTGATATGTAGAGATTAAAATCATAACAGGTAAGTTTTGTAAGTACACCACTTACAAAGTATGTTTGTAGATAAAAGTGTTTCTATAATTAGTATACTACTATTTATTCCTTTATGTTTTGTGCATTCATTCTACACTGTATACATTAAACACACGATTTTATATTATATCTAAAAATATGCAGGCTACTGCACAGTTACCAAAGTAGCCTTTTTTTTTCCCCTCTGTGGGGACTTGGTTCATCAAGTAAAGCTCTGTCAGTCACTGGTATGACTCTAATTTAATTCACTGTCTGCTTAGTAAGGACCTGGCCAAGGGAAGAATTATGTCTTCTTGGTCCCATCCTTTTGGCAGATTGGCAGATTTAAAGTAGGTAAGACATTTTAAGAATAGGGAAGTAAGGCTTGCTATAATTATCATGGAGTCAAGACTGCACTGAAATATTTTATTAGTGTATTGAATCAGGACTTTTGAAAAATAAAGCCAAGAATCATATATGTTAATTTTTTCCTTTGAGAGAAACTAAATACTTTCCCCCTGAGGCTTTTTATAGTGATTAAAGCAAACTTCTAATTGTTGCATCTGATTTATTGGGCTTGCAACATCTCTGGTAAGTATCTCTGGCCAAATTGCACTGACCTCAATGACAGGGCATCTGTGCCTTTGTATCTGGATCAAGAGAGTCTATTGTTTCTGTCTCCAAAGTCCCCAACTAGCTAATCAAAAATTAAGATGCCCAAATCCAAATCCACCTTTCAACGATATAAGAAAAGCGTGAAGCTTTAAATATATCACGTTCAGCACATCTGTGAATTTCAAATATATTTTGCAAAGACATCAATCATCTTGAAATCACATATGAATGCCAATTAAAATGAATATCTATACTTACCTATTCATCCAGCTTATTTCTGCAAGTGACAGCAGGCTTATTTTTGCTTGTTTATTTGTAATGAAGCATTTGGCAAATGAAAATTTAGTGGATTACATTAGAACATATAAGGTTGTTGATCCAGCACACTTAATCTTCACTATAATTCCAGATAACTCTGTACTGCTATTGAATTTACCTATCTGCCACACAGAACTTTTTGATCATAATTCCTTCATTTTTAAAATTACATACATTTCTGTGTAGATGGTCATTTTGCAAATGAAATGATTAAGTATAGGTAATTAATATATACCTCTTTATACATAGTTATCATTTGTGTCTTGAGCATACTTCATACTCCCTCAACAGTATTTTGTGTGCACTCTCTTATCACATGTAACCGTTATTTTCTACTAAATCTTAAGTCCCCTAAACTTATTTCTCCTCTCACAAAGAAATCATGTGTCTCTGAGCAATAATCCCCAAAAGTACCCTCCGCCAAATCATTGGCACTAATGCATAACTACTCTCTAGTTGTGAGATAATTTTTCTTTTTTACAACTCAAATGTAGGAATTGACAGTATTGTTTTGTGCCCAGTTTATTTTATTTACCTTCTTGTCCTCCAGATACATCCCCATTGTCTCAAATGACAAGCTTCCTCCTTCTTTATGCTTGAATTCTGTTGCATTTGTGTACTAACTATATCGAAGCAAAACATTTTACAATTGCAGTTTGCCTTCTTGCAGCTTAGCAAGTAGCACTTGTGGGCCTGCCATGTCACACAAACAGATGCTCCATACACCTTGAAACTTTCATTTCTCCCTTTAAAGTGGGTGTTACAGATGTGGGGTAACATAGTTCACTGGGTAGGAAGGAGTACAGAGGGTAGGCAGTCTTGCATTACTGTTTAGAAATGTGGTCTAGAGTTCTTGAGACCACGGCTGTCTCTCAGCCAGAGTCATTGCTTACCAACGACGATTGGTCATGTGACTTCTAGTAACCTACTTAAAGATTTTGAACATCAATCTTCTTGTCTATAAAATGGCAACGAAAAAGGGCATTGGTGGCGCACACCTTTAATCCCAGCACTCGGGAGGCAGAGGCAGGCAGATCTCTGTGAGCTTGAGGCCAGCCAGCCTGGTCTACAGAGTGAGCTGCAGGACATGTCCCAAAGCAATACAGAGAAACCCTGTCTCAAAAAACCGAAAGGGGGGGGGGGAAAGGAAGTGAAGTAGTTGAACCTACTTCACATGTCTCTTCAAAATTGGGCTGGTATTTATAGTATGACAATAACATCTGCCATATCTTATTTACACAGTTTTCTCCATATCATCCAGTGGTTCATAATGAGTAGTTGATTTAAAAATATTTAAGGAAGCAATTAATGGCAATAGTAATGCCTAGGGAATTGTCAATAATATAAGTAAATAAACCTAACAAAATACATTCTGTAGTACTTTATATATGATACAACTATGAAATATTATCACAGAATTTTATCAATGATGACATTATGTCCTCTAAAGGCAGAGTTTTCAACATGCATGATTTCCCACCATGAGTGGCTTTGGAGTCCATCCTGGAACTAGCTCTTGTAGACGAGGATGGTCTTGAACTCACAGAGATCCACTTGCCTCTGCCTCCTGAGTTCCGGGATTAAAGGGGTGTGCCATCACCACCCGGTGCTTTATATTTTTGATTCATGGCATTTTGAGTGTGGAACCACATGCCTTTCCTCACTCTAACTTTTCCTACTCATGTAAGAACTCTTTATGAAAGCTCCCTGATAAATCTTATAGAAGTTGTTAATTATTTGAGATGGTAATACTTGTGATTTATGACTTTATAATGGCAGTATCATCTTTTAAATATCATCTGTTCATGGTGACTTACTGAAACCCTCCATGTTGTAAGATTGATATTCATTTCCTGACTTACACTTCATCCCAAATCCACAAGGATGTGATGTGATAGTATTCCTATTTGTCAGAAATGGAGAAGCAGCAGAATAGATTCAGAATAGTAATGATCTCAGATAATTACAGAGACTGCAAGAATTTGCCTGTGAAACAAATTCTGACTGACTGCACACATTTTGTCTTCAGTGAGCCTGAACAGAAGGACATGCTGTCTTCTGATTGTCAGTTCTTTCTTCAATGTGGAAAGGGTGGAATTATTACCAGGAAATTCAGACTAGGGAAACATCAGTAAGATATCTGCAAACCATTGGAACTCAGTTGTAGATGGGGCATGGTGGTGTATACCTGTAAATCTCACAACTTAGGTGGGAAAATAGGGGACTGCATGGCCATGGCCCACCTTGGCTAGAAGAAAGAATACAATCTCAACAAAGTCATTTATAGTAAGAAATTGTGAATTGTTATTGACTAGTATAAATTAACATAATAATATATTTCACATATGAACATATACATATATAATATCTAAATGTACTTACATAACCTACACAGAATTGGAAGATTGTTGGGCACATGGTAATTTATTTTCTTTTTATTTTTTTTTCAGCCCTATATAGGTCTTTCTTAGTAGTTTAGTTAGGTTAATTTTGCTATAATAAAGCACCATGGCCAATTCCAACTTGGGGAGGCAAGGGTTTATTTCATTTTTGACTTTTGGGTGATGGTCTATCACTAAGAAATTCAGAACAAGGAATCAAGGAGGGCAGGTACCTGGTAACAGGAACTGAAGCTTAAACCATGGAGGAATACTTCTCACTGGTTAGCTCCTCCTGTCTTGCTTAGCCTGTTTTCTTTACACATCAAGACCATCTGTGAATTGGTGGCCCTTGCCCCATGCAATGGGCCCTCTCAAATCAATCATTAATCAAGAAAATTCCTCACAGGCTTGCCTATAGCCCAACTTGGAAGGTGCATTTTCTTGCTTAGGTTCTTTCTTCCCCGATGACTCTGGCTTGTGTCAAGTTTGCAAATTCACACCAGGACACCTCCATAATTGCCATCTCTAGTCGAGTACTAATATAGGCTTCATAATACTTTTTTTCTAATCAACTGTATATCCAGAGTCCAATAAGTACAATGTTAGGTTATGATAGTTAAAGGTTTTCATGAAATCTAACTGGTAATACAGTACAATATACTTAACATCATTTTTTTGTAACTCCTTTTCCCCCATCAAGTGATGAGTGTTGTAATTAGTTATAATCTTTACTTAGTGAAGAGAAATAACTAACATTAAAAGGTGAAGGATTTAAGAGAAGATAGTAAGTTCAATGGAAGGGGTTCTTAACTATCACAGCTATTTGAAATTGAAATAGCCTATGTTTATAAGTGCTAATGTGTCCACAGAAACATCTATGATGAGATGACAACACAGTCATTTGGCAGAAGTTAGACAAAAGGGAGTCACCACATACTTCCTTCCATCCTTCACTCTTTAGGTGACTTGCAGTAGGGATACAAAGGTAGAGGTTGTGATAAGAATATAATGAAATAGATGAAACATTGCTGTTATAAAAGTGCATTGTATTAGAATTTATATTGAAGAAAGAGTTCTTTAAAAAACATTTTTTAAAAGCCAATTAGTGTGTAACAGAAAGGTCAAAGTAAGAAGTGAGACTTAAAGGAAGAGTTTGCTTCTTGTC